TTCGACTGAGGAAATTCCGCATGGAAATCCTTCGGAAGGTCACCCAGTCTCTACAGATTCCATGTTGGGTCTCTTCCATAGACTTGAAAGATGCCTACCTTCACATTCCAATTCACCCACGAAGCTATGAATACCTACTCTTCCTATACAGCGGGAAACTCTTCAAATTCACAGCTCTCCCCTTCGGCCCCTCCACTTCACTGAGAGTGTTCTCAAGGGTTGCAAAGATCGTCGCTGCTCACCTTCGAAAGTGGAACGTCATGCTGTTCCAGTACCTGAACGACTGGCTGATCATTGGCAGTTCGTTCAACGAAGCAGAAGTCTCTGCCCGCCTTACTTGCGACATTGAGAATTGCGTTGGCTTCATTATCTACCACGATAAGCCAAATCTCACCCCAATGCAATACCCAACATATCTAGGGGCATCTATCGACCTTCAATGGGATATAATCTCACCAATGACCAAAAGCATCAACAACCTTCTTGACTGTGTGAAAGTCTTTTCTACTGAGCAGTGGCTCTGGCCCGTGCCTGGCTCCGTCCCGTCGGCTTGATGGCCAGCATGGTGGACCTTTTCCCCCTTCACAGGCTGTACATGTGCCCACTACAACATCTGTTAGCTCTCTACAGGCTATAATTGGACTCAATCAATCTGCAGGTCCCCATCTTCATCTGCCCCCTCTCCAGTGGTGGTTAGCGAAGAAACACCTGCCTCTGGGCTGGGGAGCCTCCCTACTGCCGATTCAAGTTTCGGGAACATGGGACCTCCAGCTCTAAGGGAATCACATCAATATACTGGAACTTCAGGCCATATTCAATGCACTGAAAGCTTTCCGCCTGGGCATCATAGGAAAACAACTCCACAGTGGTGTCATACATCAATCATCAGGGAGGCACACATTCTCCCTGCCAGTGCCTCCTGAGGAGACAGATGTTCCTTTGGGCCCAGGATTATGGCATCGACCTCCACGCGACCCACATTCCTGGTGTCAACAAATCCATAGCAGATGCTCTCTCTTGGGGAGAGGTACGTCCCATGGATTGGTTTCTGCATACCAGTATAGTCAAACCGATCTTCGCCGAAGTAGACAACCTTTTCGCCTCGGCAGAGAACGCCCAACTGCCAGTACTCTGCACCAGATTTTGCCACCCGCAAGCCTGGGCAACAAATCAGCTTGTAAGGGATGTTGACCTACGCTTTCTCTCCAATATCCCTAATACTGGCCCTTTTCCCAAGATCGAACGGGAACGCTGTCAAGTCCCCCTCATTGCCCTCTTCTGGCCATGCCAGCCATGCTTCCTGCGTCTGACCAGACTTTCCGTCCGGGTACTGACGATCATTCTTGACAGACCAGATCTGCTACATCAACCAAAGTCGGACGTGCGTCACCCTCATCCGACGTCACTACATCTGATCTGTTGGCTTTTTCAAACAGTCCTTCAGATCAGCAGGACTCTCTGATGAAGCTGCCGAAATGACCTCGAAGAGTCAATGCCAGTCTACACACAGCATCTAAGACTCCAGATTACAACATTTTACTTTGTGGTGTTCAGAGCGAGGTCTTGCTCAAACCTTAGTTTCTGTGACTTCTATAACTGATTCTTTCATACACCTGTTCAAATCAGATCTCCAGATTTCAACTATCCGTAACTATCAGTCAGCCGTTGCGTCTATACATGATGGCTTCCCAGACGGTGTCCAACAATACTGCTCTAATAAACATCTACTCCGATGAATGTTTCTTGAGCATCCCCTTACTAAGAGATTAATCCCTTCATGGGACTTGTCAGCTGTTCTCCAACTGCTTGCTTGTCTCCCCTTTGAGCCACTCGGCAATGCATCGTTGATTAACTTATTGGTGAAACTGGCATTCCTACTGGCAGTTACTACCTTGAGGCGTGGCAGTGAACTGAAAGCATTGTCCATCACAGATTGCTGCATTTGATGGGAAACCCTTGGTATTCGTCTCATCCAGCAGTTTCTCATCCAAGAACCAGTCAGTTTCCTTCCATCCTCCTGACATTTTTGTACTAGACATTACCAAACACATTGGTACGATGACAAACCATGGTGCCCAGTGCGAACTCTTAAATGGTTAGCCAAAACCAGAAAACTCTGGTACAACTTTGCAGCTTTGCTTCACCACAATAAAACCTCACCGAGCTGTGACCAGAGACACTATAGCCAGATGGGCACTTTTGGCTATCAAGTTTGCCAACCCAGATTGGCCGAACTCTGTGGACAATAAAATACTACACCTCATCAGAGCTCATGATATTTGAGCAGTTTCAACAACATGGGCCTACTGCAGTGGTTCACCAATGGAGGAAATATGCAAGGCAGCATGCTGTAAGACCCCATTTACTTTCACCATATGCTACCTCACCGATGTTCTACAAAAGGACTCAGCACATGGCAGAGTTATCCTAACATCGGCTACATCGATGCCGAAGGGTTCCTCATCAAAGCGGTCCACCACTGGAACGACAAAACAACTCCATTATTCTGTGAGTCTGCAATAAACTTTGGACAGTTTCATACTCCTGGCGCTCATGTTATGTCGTGCGTCCTCACCGCAATGGCTGCCATGTTCATCCTTTTCCGGTATTGAAACCGTCTGAGCCAAAAGTGGGGAAGGATGGGACGGAGCTGACTAAGACTCCTCCCTCACAGAAATGTGGGCTAGGTCTGCTATTGAGTGCTTACCCCAAACAGTCAGCTCCCTACCATCCTATCCCACTTTTGGCTCGGACGGTTTTAATACCGGAAAAGGACGAACATTGCAACTATTCCGCTATGCATCATGGGACTAGAGGGCGCACTACAGTTGATCAGATGTTTCAGCAAATAGAATCAGACACAAAGGAATTTGCATATTTAGCAACTGTTTGGGGAAGGTATTCAATAGCAGACCTCGCCCACATTTCTGTGGGGAAGATTTCAGCCACAGAGCAAGTCCTGTGGAAGTGAGTCCCAAGTTCCAAGCAAGGGATAGTGGGACTGGGAGGGAACTCAGAAAAGTGTCTGTGTCTTTGAAATTTGAGCAGATCGAAAGGTCAGATTGAATTTCACAGTCTGAGTACAGTCATTTTCATACATCCAGATCTGAAAATTATTCAGTATGTTTTCAGCTCAAGTAGACCTCAAATTACAAACTATTTCTGAAATGTTTTCCTTTTTCAATTTGGACAACATTAATATCGAGACTCTATTTCAAACAAATACCCTGAGGAACTTTTTGTTTTATACAAACACAGACAACTGACTGACCGTATAAAATGTAAAAAATCACGTGTGGGTTTTATGTCTTCCCCTGACCCACTGTGTGCTGATTATTTTTATTCCTTGCATTCAGTCTTCCAATGATATTAATCCTCCCCATCTTAGCATTTTTTATCCAAACCTGGATCACGTGTGGTTTTGTTTTTTCCCCGCCCCACTGCGTACTGATTATTTTTATTCTCCGCATTCAATCTGCCAAAATATTAATCCTCTCATCTCAGCATTTCTTTATCCAAACCTAGATCACACATGGTTTATTGTTTCCCCGCCCTGGCCCCACCCGGGAAAAATATTCCAAGGCTGAGGAATTAATTTCAGCATGGCCAGTACTAATACCCAATGAATATATTCTGGGCCCTCTGGTAATTTAACTGGTTTTGTCTCCTCTCTACCTCACCCTCAAAAGTGCAAACCACAGTAAAGGAAGGTAATTGTTGATGTCATTCTGACCACAGAATTTCGTTTCCGGCCAATGACTGACACTGCCTTTATTACTTGATAATAGGGGTATCTGGCTTCAACTTTTACAACCAATGATAATTAAGAATATGTACAGCTAATATTTTGATTGGGTTCTAGTTTTCTGTTTTACGTCTCAGCAATTGGTATGTTGACTGTTGAACGTCTAGGATCCAGTAGGGGTGTGATGCCCGTGGTTCGATTAGCTGGGAGGTCCGTTAATGTACACAGAAGTCAGGCGGCAGACCTCCTTTATGAATACAGAAATAATACACAGTAACCGAAAAATGTTTGGAGAGTGGGCCTTCTGTATCAACTGGCTTATTGTACATGGACTATCGTGACCACTCCACGATTTTGTTTAACCTGCTGGATAAAATTCAAAGTTTCTTTTTTTTTTCAACAGAAAGTGAAAGCCTTTAATTGTGAAAATTGCCCACATCAGACAAATATCTGTGATTCTGTCGGCACGCCGCGGCTGCAAACAAGTACCCAGAATGCAGTCATCAGTGAAAACATTATGCAAATCTGTTCCTTTGTTATCAGGATTCTTAAGTAGGTTGGCATTGTGTGGCTTTGTGGGGTGTGCCACGACGCGCAGATTAAAATCTTGTTGACATCGTGCCTTACTCGGGAAACACTGAATGAATTAGCCTGTTAGCTGCCCTTTCCAATGTAGATTGTTGTATCTTTTTTACATGTCTCTAGCATTCTCTGTCCTTCAGAATTTTGGCAAGCCTTTCTTGAATTTTGTAGAATCTGAAAGTGTGGCGTCTTAGGATTGCATTTTAAACATGTTGTAAGGGAATTGAGGTTGAACAGTGTTTCTGTAACTAACTTGTTCTAAATGTGAATCAGTATGGAAGCCGCAAACAGGTTGAAACATTCCTGTTTCTGATCAATTGATGTTCCCATCAGTTGATCAAACACAGATATTTAGCCAGAGTTACTTTGCAACAGGTATTTTTCATTTTGACATTTGAGTATGCAGCAGTATATTTTGATTTTAACAAATGCTCATTGATTTCTATTGAGTTAAAGCCTTTTCTGCAAATTCACTTGTAAAACAGGTTTATGAGTGTTCAAATACTGAAAACACTAATGTAATCTGGGACATAGCTAATGTGCTGATGATGTGCCGGTCCTGTTGACTGTGTTTTTGTCATGAACTAGAAAGAACTTTGTAATTGCATCACGACCAATAAGTTTCATTATCTCAGGCTGATATTAATTTGAAGTGTGGTAATTATATCAACAGTGTTCCTGTCAGAGGGACTCAGTAAAAATCAACATGGAACCATTCGTCCGAATATTCCAACCTGATCGCTATGAAGCCTGGAAACAGGGTGAAGACATAGTCTACATCGAGGATATTGACAAACCTAGCAGCGGAATCCAATCACAAAACATAATGGAGTACAATAGGTAATTATTGCCCATCATTACCTCAACTAGTCACATAAACAGTGTGTTTGGTTACTTCCTCTGTGCTTATGCACCATCATGAAATTGAATAAGCATACTTTCGCGGTTTGTCTGTGTTCTGGCCGATCAGTCCATCATCGTCCAGGAGGTCGAGAATCGGTAGATTGGATGGTAGTGTGCACTCACTCACGGAAAAGTTTAATAAGCAGGGCTGGCCATGCGCCTTGTCGTTGCAACAAGGGATGAAATGAAACATGACCAACCTCATGAATACGAACAGCAGAACACAGAATGTCTGTCCCTTTAAATACAGTTGATTGATAGTTCCACAGCTAGAAACAGTCCAGGGTCCCTGGCTCCTCAAAAACTAATTTTCATAGAAAGGTTTTCATCCAGAAATATCTGGAAATTATCCAGCTACATATCATACTTAACAATTTTGGGGAGTCATTTAAAAGACAAATGCTAGCGAGCTCTTTATATGGTTGGTAGATGTATTTTGCCTGGTTCCACAAACCACGCCATCTGTATGGTAGGTCTTGTTTCTCTGACAGAGGACGTGCACCACACACACATTAAAACATAATCTAAAAAAAGAATTTGCAGTCACTACTGTATCCAAAACATATGGGTCATTCCATGAAATTGGATAACAAAGTGTGACAAAGGAGCTGAAATTTCAAATTATGTGTGAATCCCCCCCCCCAAGTTTTGACACATTATTAACTGGGATTCTCATAACTAGTAATACTGAAATGCCCAGGCATTATGCAACATGTAGAGGGTTGTGGATGTAACATGGAAACCACACTGAGTTTCAGTGCACAGTGAAGATTTCTCCAAGTTGCAATAGCAGACCTGCGAACGAGCACGATTTAGCCTTATTTCTTACGGGAAATTCTTGAAAATAAATTAGTATGATTTCTCCCCCATAAAATACAGGTTTTGATGATTTTGACATGCCTGAAAAAGATTGTAGTTGAACGATTGCCAGTGAACATTATGCTAGAAAAAAACAGCTGCAAATGTACATGTGCATACATTTGCACACGTACATGTACATGTTCAATGTAAATGGACATGTGTGCAGGGTATGCACTCCACATGTACAAACCTTGTGTGTAAATAGCATTCAGTATCCACCTTATCATTATGTTGTGATTGGCTGCCCATGAAATATTAATATTCATGTTGCATTAGTGGGACTCTTTAAAGCTGCTCGTGCGTCATTGGAAGTAGTGACAATCTCCAGTATTTTATGTAGAGCACATTTCACTGCCACCATGGCCACCATAAATATGCAATTTGAAATAAGCTCAGGTAGGTACATATACTCGTTTTGGGAGACTTTCCAGACGAGGTACTTTGTGGTCGGGCAAAACATTTTCCCATATTCGGTTGGCATGTTCGGGTTTGAACGAAGTGCAATCTTTGTGGCAACATACATGTATGGCCACATGGATGGCAATATTTGTGTTGATCTTTACCACATTTTCCCCTGATTATATTCAAAATACACTGAAAATATCCTGTCAGGAAAACGGTGCCAAAAATTTTGCACCTTTACTTACAATTTTCCAGCCAGAATGTCGTCAAAATCCTATGTCTGTGTGGGGCGGGAATGGGAAAACTATGGCCTGCCGGCCTGCATGCACCACGTTGTGTTCAGTAGCACGGTTCCTTACAGCGTGGAATCGCTCTACCATTACTCCTTGAGGGATACGTGGAACTAGACATGTTAGCAACAAGACTATACCATTTTTTACCTGTGGGGGCATGTACCATATTTTCCTTTTTATTTGTTTAACTAATAATACCGTCATGGGAGTATGCAAACTGGAGTGGTTGCTTAAAAGACCTGTTTATACAGAAGTTCAAGGTATGGCTCCTCCAAGGGGATCACGGTACAACCCATTATTACATAATGGTAACGGACTAATGGTCAATAACAAGATCTTGACATAACTTGGAAACCGTCGAGTTTTTCTGATCAATTGTAAATTGGAAAAAATCAAAATCTACCAAACATGAGCACACTACATGCGTTGTCAAAGTTTTAGGATTCATTCTTTCTACAATCTTGTTCTTCGAAATCAATGATACCAGTCTCTAATGGCTGAATTTACTTTCAACAAACTTGGGGTGGGTGGCATAACTACATCACAGATGTAACATGTGGAAACTATGTTTCAAGCGTAAATACATACCTGACAACATTTGGCATGTGATCTTTTGTTTGGCAAATTCTAGAAAGGGCTGTTGAAGCACGAAAAAATCCATGTCCAACAAGGGGCGCACACTTCCGCTTTATGGAACACCAATGCAACAGAATGGCTGTGGAAACCAAGCTCAGCATTCTGGCAAGAACAAATTATTTCTTTTGAACTGAAATATAGCCGCGAACGCCGAGTTGAGCAAAAATACGTCTGGGTTGTAGTTTTTGAAAAGTGGTGATTTAGTTGACAATTCCAGGTCCAAAAAACGAACTCCTGTTTCAGATGTAACTCGACTATCTATGTATGGAAACCACATGTTACGTCCATACCCTCGAACAAAACAGGGGCTCACTTATGAAGGAGGGGGAGTTAACATAAACTATGCAGTGAACTGTGGAGGATTGATATAGATATTAATATGTGAAAATTTTTACATTCACTTTCAACCCACTCTCTTTGTTTCTTAAATGCCCATTTATTTAAAATGAAATATTGGTTTTACATAAACTGAAACCACTTTTTCGTGCTTTATGCACTGCTGTTGTCAATGAAGATCATCAAAAAAGATCATCGCCGATCATCTTAATTTATGGTGGAGGTTCTAAAAACAAAAAAATTTTTGGCAAGATCTTCAAGTAAACTATGAATCGAGTCCCCAGCAATTTTGTCGTTCTGAAAATAAAGCCTATTTTTTCTGAAATGTGGAACTAGCTCATTGGAACTGGACAATCAGCTATACAGGAATAGTCATTCTTTGATAATGTATTATCAACCATTGTTCATTTGGCAAAATGTGCATGTAAACTGTAAACCAGCCATTTGCAAATCGTGTTGACTTGAGGTTTTTTATGTTGTTTGGTGAATTATTGTGGTGAATTCCAATATTATGTCATAGAAGGTATGAATACATTCATGAGAATTCCACTAATGGCCCTTTTCATGGCACGATACTTTCTGCCTTTTTGATTTAAAGTTGTCCTTACTTGCAGTTCATTCCCTCTGTAGGCCTGTCCCTTGATATTTTCACCTTTCATAATGGGTGCCCTCAACTTTTTTGTGCTCCTTAGAAGGGTCCACATTACTAAAACTCCAGTTAAGTCAACATTGTACAACTTGGCCAGGTAGCAGTCGGTGTGTGTTGGCTTCCTATACACTGTGTGGGATAGGGTGCCATCTTGTAGTCTTGAAACCTCGACATCCAAGAATGCAATGCGTCCGTCTTGTTCCTTCTCCATGATGAACTGGATGTCGTTGTGTTGGCTGTTGAGGTGTTGAAGGAACAGCTGGAGGTCTTGTGGGCTGTGTGGCCAGACGACGAAAGTGTCGTCCACATACTGGATCCATACGCTGGGCTTGAGGTCCGCGGAGAAGAGGGCTGTATGCTCAATTCTTCCATGAACAAGTCTGCCAGAACCGGGGATAGAGGTGATCCCATGGAGGTTTCGGAAGACTGCTCGAAGAATTTGTCTCTCCACTGGAAGCAGGAAGATGATACGCAGCTGATCAGAAGATCGTGGATTTGATGTGGTGTGAGGTTGGTCCGGTCGATGAGTGAGGGATCTTGAAGTAACCTATCCTTGGCGATGGTGCATGCTTCAGATGTGGGTACATTAGTGAAGAGAGAGACCACATCGAAGCTGACCATTATGTCTGTGGGGCATAGAGACAACCCGTCGATGAACTGGGCGAACTGTTCCAAGTTCTTGATATGATGTGGGGTGTTGCCGACCAGAGGGTGAAGGATCTTGCCGACTTACACAAAGGATTTTGTTGTTTTTTGTGGGAATGGGATCGAGAGTGACACGCTGACTTATGCAAAAGGACGACTTGTACTAAAAAAAACTTGAGCAAGCAGGCGGAAGAAACACAGAGTTTTCAAGAAATGATCATGAGTGCATTGGTGCCTTACATGGCGGCGGCGGCAGCTGATGAAACCGCTAGCTACAATAGCTATGCAGGCACGGAGAATACTAATGAGGAGGTCATTTTGTGTGACCCAACTGATGATGACATGGTTTCTGAATCTGCTTGTGCTAGTGGACTAATGTCCACAAACCAAGAAAACCCAGACTCAAAATCACAGTCACAGCTGGCTGACTCAGACCAGACTGTAACACCACAGGCACTGCCTATGGACAAAGGGTTTGCTTCCCGGTTTACTGTTCGGTCTGGGGTTGGTAATCCTATGAAGGAGGACATTGCGAATAGTCTAACTTTTCTTTTAACAGAAAAACTGGAAGAAAAGAAGATGAATGACATTGCAGACACATATCAGTGCCCCAGTAACTGTGAGGCTTTGGCAGTGCCCAAAGTAAAGCCACAAATCTGGGACAATATCTCAGCTAAAACCCGCTCCAGAGACCTGAAGCTTTAAAGGGTGCAGAAACCTCTCATAAAGGGGGTCACTGCTGTGGCTCGTGCTTTTAAGGGTCCATGAACCACTGAACAGGAAGATGGTCTCGCCCTTCTGGCCTCGGCCAACTTTGAACTGAATAGTCTCCGCAAGGAGCTCATCAGGCCAGACCTGAACCAAAAATATGCCCACCTGTGCAGACCGTCAACGAAGGTGACACAGTGGTTGTTTGATGATGATCTGGGAAAACAGGTAAAAGAACTCCATGAGGAGCAGAAGGCCACGATGGGGGTGATGCCCTTTGCACGCCAACAACGAGGGGGTTTTCACCCTTATGCAAACAAACGTTTCCAAATTGCAGGCTGGAAAAACTGGTGGACATTCCTCTGGAACTAACAAAGCTCCTTTTTTAGGGGGGAGCCTCACTCAGC